GTTCAATTCATTTTGTAAACTACGAGACCCATGTCGCTTCCTGAGTTCCTCCTATTTTCGTTTCCATATCCAAATACACGTACGTATTTTCCGCTTTGCTTCACTGAGTGGATCTATGACGAGGCAGGATTTCATCGAATGGTTGACCAAATACGTGAAAAGCCTAAGTTGTAGAAGTCAACCGAAATAGCAGCGGGACGTTGTAATCGAAGGTATACAACTTCTATATAAAGGCGAATGTGCTTATAGCAGTCGATGTTTGTTTACCCAACTAGCTAGCGATATTATTAAAAAGGCAACGTCTGCGTTAAACGCTAGCCAAGTTTTGCGACGTGAGCAGCGATCTGACACGCACTCTACTTGGCAAAAGCCAAACTATAACAAACCTAGCTACTATGATAACTGCAGGACAAACATTTTGCAATCAATCGTTGCCTTTAGGAGGTAACAGCTTGAGGTTTGTGGGCAACGTTTGCATTAGTCATTTACATCACTCGCACACAATCACGGACGGCTATTTTCCCAATGGAACCAAACTGTTTCATCAAACTCGGTTCGATCCTGGATCCGGTCGACTACAGACCAGGTCGGCTAAATGGACTGACCAATCAAACAGGCTCTATTGAAGAAAAGCTGATTAGCACCACACAGGTTTCCATAACATGACCGAATTTATATGAAAGCAGATTATCCTTGTCGGGTAGTTTTTGCACTGGCATCACCACTGGCGTTCGATCTCTGAGCGGCGTTCTGGCATTAAGAAAGGTAAATATCGCCAATTTAAACGAGGAGGAGCGAGGGACCTGCCGAACATCAAGTTTTCGTGTTGCCATTACGGTGCGGTTTTCACACAGACCAAAATCATTTTTTGAAAAATATTGCCACAAAAACAGAAAAAATTCTAAATTTCAAATGATGCATTTCCCCCACTTTTGTTTTTTGTTCCTTTCAAACACAAAACGACTACTTAATAGCACCACCTGCTATGGCACGTCATATTTGTACGTAACAACAAAAGTAACTGTTCGTTTTGAAGTCCTGCATCTCATGCTCTAGTTGCAGTAGCGGTATGATTTGCCGTTTATTATGTTAAGCTGCCTCGTTATGAGTTTCGGACCTATTGAAAAAGCCATCGGGCAGCTAAAGGTCTCGGGGTAGTGAAGATGGTTTTGAAACGGGCTTCGCTTGGCGGATGCTAATGCGACAACAACAGGCGCCTTGCTTTAGCCTTACCCCACCCCCTGATATGCTGACGGCAACCCGTTCAAACCGCTTCTCTTCGGCCTACTCGGCTTCTTTTTTCTTTTTTTTTCTATATATGCGAATCCTATCGTTGCTCTTACAGTTGCTAACAAGTTGTTCACGCTTTGCTTTTCCGTCATCCTCTTTTCGGCTGACTTGGCTGTAACCGAATGGAGCGGAGCCTTCTCTTTCCATTGTGTAGAAGCGGGAGTCCGAATAGCCGCCAACGTTCGTTGTAGCCGCTATCGAGGACGCACCTGAGTCATAAGTAAAACAACAGCTGCCAACGAGCTGGCTTACGTTACCCTCGCTGTTGCCACAGCGTCTGACTGTGGTACGCCACTCTGTCGGGCTGCCACTTTCAGCACCCGCGTCGTAGCAGGGAGCTTCGGGTAATTCGGTAATTGTAACACGACGGGGCAGACAGACAGACCTGGCCACTCGGCCAGCCAGTGGGGGCTGGCCGAGTGGCCAGGAACAGTAGGGTAGTTTCGATACCCACTTCTGCTTTTACTGCTGCGGGAGCTAGGTTATATATATTTCTCGATGAGGAGGAGAAATACAGCAAGGACAACGAAGAGGAACTCATCGCTGTCTGTTGTGGAAGTGCTTTTGCCGTCGCTTGTGGATTTGTTTGCTCGCCTCGCTCGTTTTGCTATACACTACTGTGTTTGCTCCCTGCGGATTCAAAGACTCTATCCTTATGAATTCACCGTACTCAGTAACAGCTGGGAGGGCAGCGGTAGTCACCTTGACGGAAGCAACACCAACGACACGAATGGTAGCGACGGTGAAGAAGACAACGCTCCTGCGGTGTTAATGCCAGACGAGTAAAAGAGCGCAGCGTTCCTCCCACCAGGTGGCAGCAGCCGGAGCGCCGATAGTAGCTGCACGGGCTGAGTAACTATTGTTACTATGAATCGTTTTTACGCAAGCTGCGTTCTTTAAATCGCAAAGGACAGCGCATACTAATACGATTGCTGTTCTTGTTACTGATACTGCCATAACTGCTTTATGGCGTGAGCACCTTTCACGTATAGCTAACGAGGCGATCGACGCTAACACGTAGCGTCATTTCAGCTGAGATGACGTCGGTTGGCCTGCTGGGTCTAGAAACGTTCTTAAAGGCGGAGCAAACAGATGGCGAGCTTCGCGGGTCTATCGACAGGGTTGCTTTTTGCCATTGAACTGTCGAAAGATCCGAAGACCAGCCCAGCTGAACTTCGGTTTTAGCCCAGCTCCTGATATTCTCCGCTTAGGGAATAGCAAGGTAAACCTCTTATTTTTCAACTGCTTGGGAGCCGCAAATAAGCAAATAAAGTAGCGAAAAGCGGGGCGTTCGTGCGCGTTTGAACTCGAGGCAAATCTGGGTAAGCGGCTAGCTGGGATCAGCGTTAGTTTGACTCCACTCAGCTGGGATCGCCTCGTTGCCGAAGCACGGTCCGCAACAGTGGTGCTGTTTTTCTGCTAAAGTCTATTCAGCCAGTCTTTCGCAGTCCGCACAACTAAGCGACCGGTGCCGTCAATAAAGATGACAACCTTAGATTACAGTCGTGCATACGATAAAGGGCAAACAAGCTGGCGTGATTGGATGTGTTTTGTTTTTAGTACACAGAGCAGGAGAATCGATAATAAAGAATACAAGCAAGCTTAAAGGCAGCTATATACAATGACTGTGTTGACAGCAATACCAAAATTTCAAGTTTGCTCCCGCAATTCAATTAGCTTATTCCAACTAGGCTATTACCAGTCGTAGGTTATTAGAAGTGAAGTAAGTTTCGATGAGACCGAGGGAGCAGATGAAGCGATTATATTTGGATTGCGAAGCACCCATAGCGTCTTTCTTGTACTATTTCGACGAACCTCAGCCACAGGGATGCGACATACTACACTTGGACAGAAATCAATGGGAATCAGTCTATCGGACACCTGCCGGGCTTATCTATGGTCGAATGCAACAAAAAAAAGTCAAGGAAGAGACAACGGGGTTATCTTGATCTCGTCGACATTCTATTCCCGGTGAACAGCATTATGAACGTTATGGCATCAGCCGAATGTGTAACGTTTGTCTGTGCCCTTGTAACAGTTAGAGAGAGTGACAGAACGTTATCGTTTGCTAACTAGCCCCGAGCACCACGGACTTGTGCAAGGGCTGGCCTTGTAAGCAAAGGGGCAGAAGCAAACAATTAACGCATGACCGAATACGAGAAAACCTTCTACGGCGGAGTGCGAGAGAAAAGAGCATTAAAGGGAAAGAAGGAGGTAATTGGAAAGAAAAAATGAAGTGACGACTGGAAAGGACCAGCAGAGCAATAGATGCAAAACCGTGGAGGGCTGAGAGCCGTGAGGATGGCTTCTGATGACGAACGGGTAGAGGTCAGACGATCACGGTAGAACAGATAGATAGCCCGCCGCCGGGATGCCTTGGTCGTGCGGGCTTTGCTAGCAATTATTGAATCGAAAGAAGCCAGGACCAAAGACATTTTTAAGGTAACAAACGTCGAGTCCTTCTGTCTACCTGAGCTCTTGAATGGCACCTTAGTTCTTGCTTAGTAAGAGGCAATAGATAATTGTAACTTGATATTGAATTATGCCAGTGTATTGCTTGTTTATAAATAATGACTTTTTCATCATAGCATATAGAAGACATTTGAAAGAGCAGCTCAATATTGGTCATAACGACGGTTATGCTATAGCTGCCTACGACTAGAAAGTATAATAATCTCACTTTCAGTGTGGTTAATAAGATGATTCGTTCCTTATGGCCCGGTAATATAATTTGAAGATAGAACTAGGTCGTGTCATTTATACAAAACGCTTTTGTATATACGTGCGTATTTAATTTTTGGCTCAACGTCGAAAAGAGTACTATTAGTGATGAGATCCGTGGAAGTTACACAGAAGTGTACAGAGCTACAGGCTTTCCCAAATATTCCCTTATGACATTCATTCTGGAAGGTAGAAAACTTCCAGAGTTTACTTCTATCGCTGGAACTGTTTATATTGCATGTAACATATCATATCTTATTATGCCGTTTTCTCTTCTCGAAACTATAGGGTTGCTTTTCGTTTTTTTTTTTCGTGGTGTTGAATACGTAGATGTCCTAGTAGCTACCCCCGAAATGAGATATTGGGCTCATTAATGAAGATCAGGAGGTTTTCATGTTTAGCTTCCTATTAATAAACGCCCTTCTTTACTTCTACGAAGGTGGTGACCTATAGATGGGCCGCATTGGTCTAGATGTGGTTAAATTTTCAGTATCCAGTTCCTTACCTTCCGAGTGGCTAAATAATGAAAACACATATTTTTTTTATTGTCAACAATAAAAGACATAGTTATTTTACTATTTTTTCTCATTATCGTTAGAGTAATCTCCGTCTCAGTAATATTATTTAAATTATTACAATCGCATTGCTCTTCGTGTTGTTACCGGTGATTTTGCTGTGTTGTTAGTGGGGTGTGCTTGGCTGCCTCTCTCGATACTATCCGATATTTTATTTATTTTTCTTTTTTATCCAAAGAATATTTACTTGTGCCCGTTAACTGTGACCTTCTGGCGTTTTTGGCTGGCTTGCTTTTCTTTTTCTGCGTCGTCTTGTAAGTGTGCCGAATAAAATTGAGTTGAAGATTATCCCATACGATCGATAATTTACCCATCCTTTGACGAAAATTACGTCGCGGCTGCATATAGTGGTACAACCTCTGACGATTTCAAGCACTTAATATTTCCAAAGGTGTTCAAGTGTTATTTCTATGCGTTTTTTCTCTTTGTTTGTTTTTTTTTTAACCAGAACTAACTCTCTAGCTCTTCAGTCGTTGCAATGAACGTATTTCACGTGCAATGTTCAACTCAATCAATCATTCAGTTTGCTACTCAAAATTCTTTACTGCAGATACATCGCGAGCCGCAGGCCCATCGAATGGGACAGTGTGCCGTTGAAACTATTACATAATATAGAAATGTAATTTAAGAAGTAGACGCCTCAGTCTCGGCAAAAAAGTGGGTGCCGGCCAAGTAACCGTGGTCACTTTTGTCTTAACGACGGTGCATGAGATATGTTCGTCCCGCGTCTGTTCCTACCTTATCTTCCTGTTCTCCATTAGTCAGACCATCCAACCCTCAAGCATCAGTTTCAGTTGAATTTATCAGAAGCCGCGCCAATATGAGCCAGCGAATCGATTGTTCCATCCTTTGCCGCTTTCGTTTCGATTGTGCCCTTATCCCAATATCTAACTTAGCAGCTCAATCAATTTCTATAGCCATAGATGGCACATGTCTCGATTCACGGTATGAAGTCAAAGCTTCTTCGAATAATTTGCTCCGTAACTGACTGCTGCATTTGTTCTTCTTCATATCTTCCCTATGATTTTGTCTGCTTTCGATGCGAGTGGCAAGTGGCTGACGACAACTGTTTGACGCCGGTGTTACGTTGATGTTATCAAGGATGTTAGACATGTGTGACTGGTGTAGCAATATGTAGTGCTAGCAGCAATGGCTATCGTTAAGGCGAAGTGTCCGTCGGCGTTTCGTGCATTTCTTCTGAACTCGGAAACCCGATAGATGCTATTATTATTATTATTATCATTATCATTGTTTGTATTACTCATATCGTTAATGCGCGTATTAAATCATCATTGTGGTACGGTAGACATTGTGATTCACCTGCTCTATTCAATGCTTGTTTCTAGTCTTCATTCGCATATACTCTCGTCACGCATACTGGTTCCCTGTTTATGTTCAGTCTCTCACTGGCCACCCACTAGCATTCATCCTTTCCTATGTAACTAACCTTTTCTCTATTTCGTTTTCATTCACACGCAAACAGGTTTTTCGTCAGGCTTCTTTCGCGCTTACCGTACCTACCCCGTTACTTATATCGGAACCTAGTTTTCTCAAACTGAATATCTAGCCATATATTATAACGAAATTGCCCAAGAGTAGCCATCAGGCAACTTTCCTGCCTTAAACATTTATTGGCAATTGTTGTTCCCACTGCCGACGAGGACATATTTTTTTCGCAGGCTGCTTTCGTAAAATGGTTCGGTAACAACTCTCATTTTAAAATGTATATATATATATATATATATATATATATATATACTTTTTTGTTGTTTTATTTAGATTTTTTCATGTGTTCGTGTGTTTAGATATTGAAGCTTCCGCCATAACGTGTCGTCATAAAAAGAAGCCCCGAGTGGGTCGTTTGCAGCTTGTATCACTGTCGGTTTTTTCAACAGTTCTCGCTATTGTTTTCACCGTTCGGTCTCTCGTTTTCTCATTGTGTTAATAGCTTTATTTATATTATGTATAGGATCGGAATCCACAACCTAGAATCATACGGGAACCCAAACCAAAATAGGCTGCAAGACGATTGATCAAAGCCCACGATTATCGGTATCAACTTGGGCACTGGAAATCAACGTTGATCTGAGATGATTTTAACCATCAGGTTTCACTGGAGATGTCTCGGCTACATCGGCTTTGTTCCGACTGAACTTTTCCTGCGTCAAAAGTCGTCGCATAAGCTAAATACTTCTGGACGAAAAAGTAAGAAGGTTGTGAACATTCCACCGTAGCAGAGCTAATGTGATGAAGCCGAGGACCACACCTTAATGGCGCTAGCTGAAGTTAATTTTAGCGGTAGTTGTAGATAAATGAATCATTATTGTAATTATTATCATTACGATTGCTAGCTAAACTACTATAGTACAATGTCATATTCATTCCGCTACTACTCACTTGTTTTCTTCTACAAGAAATATCATTTTTTTGCGACGCGTTCTCAAAACAGACATCCGTTTAACGAGTTGCCGCTGGTGGTGTCACAACTAACGTATTAGGCCAATTTCACGTTCTGCTTTTATATATATATCATATGTATTGTATTCCACACGATACTTTCTCTCTGCGTCTCTAATCCTTTATTCCTGTTCCTCGCATTGATGAGTACAACAAATCCTTTAGGTTTCTATTTATACAGTTTTATAACACGTCGATCGCATGATCGCGGGCATTGGTCTCTTTTTATATGCTGTGCTATCCGGAGACTGTGACAACCTAAAGTTCACGTTCCTTCTGATTGCGGCGTAATAAGATATTATCTGCTATACTGTCATATAGTGTTGTCGAGTCGCATGCGTTCCACTTCAAGCCATCAGCCGTCCGAGTTCCGGCTCGGGCCCAGCAATCTCCTCACTGCTCGTCCATAATGAAAGATCCATGCAGCCAGATCCGAGAGTATGGCCAGTCTTCTGCGATCACTTTGGTCTACTCCCGTTTCTGCTCATTGCCGTCGTCGTTTTAAGTTTCACTGTCAATCTACAAACGTAGCTGCCAGAGCAAACAGAAGCGGTGACGAACTGTGAACCAGAGCTCTCTCTCCGTAACCTAGCCTTCAACCTTAAAACGTGACCTCCTCAGTTTGCTGTTGCCTTCCTTCTTGACGCCAACCAGTCTGATCACTCGTTGAAAGTTCGATTCAAGTAGAGCGAGCATGTGTGACAGCACTTCAGACGGAAGTAGGGCGTCGCCTTCGTATCGCAGAGATGCTTGAAGTTCTGGCATTCTTGGTACGTCAGTTCATCGACGCACACGCGAAACTCCGCTGTAACAGAATCAATGAAATCGATCCATAATTAGCTTATTGTCTAAGTATTTCTCTAGCTCATGTAGATCCTTGCTGGTTAGAAACAATGAACAAGAACCTTTTTGCCATGCTGTAAGTTTAACCAATCTTGACAGAAAATAGAATATATATATATATATATATATACATATAAAAACAGAAAAAATATTTTTTAATTTATTTCAATTTCATTCTGTTAAAAAATGTATAAATATTTTCTTCAGTCCTTACTATCTATTTTTTGGTATAAATATGTTTTTATAGTTTATAGCTGTAAAAACAACTTAACAAAGAAAGTGTTTTTTTTTTTACTATAAGAGTCCGTATACGCGTACCGCTTTAGAGTGCCATTAGCAACTAGTAATTAGGACAGCTGTTGGCAATAGAGATCTACATATATATATCTATATATTATTTGTCGTCTATATAATCGTGCGACGCGTGGAGCTATATCCATGTCCCACTAACCTGCTTCGCTTTCGGTCGTGCACGGTGCTCCCTCACAAATCTGTTCTTGTGCAGGTTTATCGGCGAGGCTGCAGCTTTCCGCCGGCGTGTTATCGGCATGATTAACGCACTGCACTGATCTGTAATCACGTAAATAGACACACACACACACACACACACACACACACACACACACACACACACACACACACATACATACATATACAAACGTCATGACATTACTGCCTCACTAATACTTCACTACCTCACCCGTTTCAACACTTCTAGCCATCAATATTAACTAAGCTTGTCTGTCGATCCCGATAAGCAAAAATACCAGAGTCGGCGCATTTGGCATTGATGCGTGTTCTACGAACGTATCCTATGAGCTACCCATATATTAGTGCACATAACGTGCTGACTCATCGCAGACGGCAGCTACGCCAGTCAAGTAAACCGGTAGCGTGTCGGACCGTTCCCGACACGCTACACATTCAAGACTAACGATCAAGTGGACGTGTCAGCTGGGACATTCCTATTCTGTTCCTCTCTCCCGTTCCTCTGCATGTGCTTCTGGGATCTAGGGTCACTTACACAAGGGCGTAATTTAAATGTCGGATATTCGGGGTTCAGGGCTCAGTCAACTGCATCGAACAACTCGTCGAATTTGTGTGCTCTTTGCGTATTCGGGTGGGCAGTAATTGTTGGAAAGATAGACGGACCGACGAGCTAACTGATGGAATGGTGGACGTTTGATTTGCAGCGATAAACCCATGAAATTGTAGCAGAAGGGGTAGCGGCGGGGTATGCGGGCGGATTGCAATCACATACCGCACGGCGTCATCAGGCGATTCTATAGTATTTTCTGGTGACGGCTGGCTCTAATACTGGTGTCGCGTCCCGTCTCTTGGGAGACGGACGGCAAGCGAGGTGAACATCGAATCTTGTTTGCGTGCTAAGTGCTTAGCCTTCCGTAGAAAACATGTACACGTATATTTGGTCATGGTGGTAGACAGCCCGTGAAGAGACATTACTCGTTGGGTACGCATCTTTGATTAACCATCCGCGACATTCACCATCATCGACATATGAGAAGAACCATCCGACTCAAACTGCGTGACATCAGTTGTTCCGACGCGGGAACGGATGCGAGAAGTCGAGCCGTCCATCCGCCCGCTCAACGGGGCGGTTAAGTGATGAGACTCATAGTTGCTGTCTAGGCTTACACTGGCCACGTTTAAACCGAGCAGGCCACGCTCGCGTCGAAAAGGCCACATAGCCTAAAGTAAAGGGTATAACACGAGATATGCTGTGTTGGCACCGCACTGATGCGCCCATGCCTGAGGTAATCGTCAGTGAATGCGGCGACCACGATGGATGCCCCTGACCAAGTGAGGGGGCGTCGCACTTCTACAGAGCTCAGCCCTTCCGTCTTATCTACGCTAAATTGTTCATTAATTATAATGACCGCGACATGTTTACACAATCGAGATGTTATTATGTGGCACTTTTAACTTCGTTTCAACGCATATATGTATACTGCATAGGATTTTAGGGAGAGGACATCATTAGTCGCTTTTTTCATTGTCTATCTTGTTACCGGGTTTTACTGCTCGAGCCAAACAACGAGCTTGCCTGTAAATGCTGAGTAGTCTAATGTTCGATTCAGCAAAGCAATCCATAAAAGGACAAACGTATTTCGACTCGTTTAACAACGCCTTCTAAATCTTCCAAAGTTCGTAAGCTGGATACTCGCTGCTCAAAGTGGCCTGGTTATTTCGTATTTGTTTCTTGTTATCATCGTCATTTTAAATAATAATTTTCCGGTTAATTCTGTTCATTATGCTATACATTTGCCCACGCGAGAGTCAGGGGCAACAGATGTATGAATGCAAGTCGGTCCCTTGGAGCGTGTGTTAAAGATTAAACAGTCGTTGGATCCTTTTGTTATTCCTTGGCCGCAATAGCTTCGGTATTGGTAGTACAATACATATTGGCTCGATAGAATTGAGGCTTGGCTCGCGTTATCGTTGTAGCCATCGCCGCCATTGTTAATCCGTTCATTAAAATACGGCTGTCGCTGTCTTCCCGAGCTTGCAAAACCTCATTGCACCGCCCTTGCATAATGTGTCGTACACCATACGCCACAGTCGATCAGATTTGACTGATGAGGCCCGCCAAAGTACTTCGATAAGCCTGTGGTAGCGTCTTTGAGGTGCGTCGTGCTGTCTCTACCCACTGCGTTTTTGCCTGGCTTTCCTATTTTCTGCTTGTTGCTGACTTTTCGCTTTCGGATTGTCGATTGGACTGGAAAAAAGGATACCTCTTTCGATAGTTTTTGTTAACCAATGTCCAATCTACGAATAAGACTAAAGCAATGCCGGAGTATACATGCAAAAAAATTTTCGCACGGCTGTCCCTTGCTGCTGTCGAGGGAGCCAGGTATGCCTGGCCAAACGTGGCCTGAAGTTTAGTTCATATTAAAGAATGGCTTCAGTACCTAACGCCCTGTTCTAGGTTCATATTAACCTCCCATGAGCGTATTCACAGAACCTTAACCTCCATCTCATACGAGCATATCGGCTCCTTAAAACGGAAGGAAACAATACGCAAGGCTGTCAAACGCATCGCACGAAGGAATAGACGTCCTTACGTATGCTGATATTTCAAAACAGAAAAGAATCGCATACAACTATATGAAACGCAGAAAGATTGAAATTAGGTACAAGTGTTTTTTTTTTTATCTAAGCTAGACAGTCTATAAACGTAATGAATATTGTTTACGTTTTAACTGACTATTATATATGGGTGGCGAAAAAAAAGCGCCAGTTATAAAAACTTCGTTTTAGGGAAGTAAGGGAACAACTATTGCTTCCACCGGACCCCAAGGAGATCCATCTGTTAAGGCGGTTGCAGGGCTGTGAATGAACATAAAGGCTACTTTCGGACCTTTGACAACCTGTGCCAGTTACTTCTAGCTTAGCTCGAACGCATACTCGCTGTGTGAGCTGATCTTCGTTCATTTTCCTGAGTCTCGTCTTCACCAATGGCTCACTAAAACAACTGAAGGTTCTCCCAGCAGCCTGACGCAATAGCGTAATAACAACTATATACGCAATAGTTCTGGGTACAAAACTGTGGAATTTACGCGCGATCTATTATTTCGCCAGTGCACGTTATGGCCCCATGTAGCTATAGGAAAAGCGGCAGGCAAGTTAGAAAAGGAAACAGGCTTATTAAACTCGGCAGTCTGCCTGGTTCAGTATGTACAAGCGTGAAGGTATAATCATGTGCACTTCCATCTAGGTTTGTGCGCACTCAGCTATACGATAGAAAATCGGAGAAAAGCAGACCACCTTGGAGGTATTGCCTTTAGCCAGTAGCTTGAAAGTATTGCAATATACGAACAGCCTTGTTTTCAACGCATACGTATGCTCATATGCAGACTGAGTCAGTGAACTTCAAGATTTCGGAAGTTGTGGACTCTGAGCAGCCCTTTCCAGCAAAAATGCCTGGTTACCGTCCCATAGCTGTACGCAATAATGATGAGTACGCCCGCAAAACGCTTGTACCAGTGCTTGCTGGTTAACAGTGCGTTGCCTTTACTACGTGGGGCATTCAAACGACTACTGCAGACGTGTATGTAGACTGTTCCGTCCAGAGATAGATAACGGAAGTAATGACTGCAAGAATCATTATACTATTGGGAGCATGCAGACTGACTGTCCAGTAGCACCCCATAGACATGACTGATAGAGCAGTGAGTCTGGCGACGCTTGCACGTATCATGTACGATTTTATGAAGGCAGGAAAGGAAAAAAAAAAGCGAAAAAATAGGGAGCTCCAAAGTGACCGAACAGGTTGATGTAGAAGGGTTCTCCCTTGGCGAAGTTTGCGGATCGATCAGTGCCGTTATCAGAAGGGGCAAAGCAGACACAAAGTATGCATAGAGTAAGCTAGCAACTGGCGGTCATCCGGTCTCTCCCAGATGAAACTCTTTTTCGAGCAATCATCACGCAGTCACAGAAAGCCCTCGTGTTCTGTATTTACAGTGACATCGTAAGCAATAACAGTTAGCTGCATCAGTAACAGTCTGGCTGAAGCTGGCAGTAAGAAAAGCCTCGAAACCATGCTAATAGACCGCCGGGTACACTATGGACTCTCTCTACTGTTATAAAACGCAAAAACAGCAGTCACATTTCCGCTTTGTGTTCGTGCTCCTGCGCGAGGGGCAGAAGAGGCAAATGGAGCCGGGGTAATGGCTATCTCAAACGCTCCAACGTACGCAACGGAAAGCGTAGCTTGAGCGGTCTGATAGAAATCGTGTCAAGCCAAGCCGGAAGAGCAACTACGGAAGGTCAAATAGGCGTGAATAAGAAAATCACCACACACTGAAACCCAATTTGCATGAGCCTTCTATAACACTGGCGGAACTATTGCTCTGAGACTGCCAACGTAAGTACTGTTGATTTAAACTAGGTTGGCAGAGCTGGCGAGCAGCGCCAGATAGTAGGATCTTCTGAACGGCTGGCAATATATGCAGGGTTAAAAAATTTAGTTGTAATAGCGAAAAATTTAGATGCTGGTTTAGGTGCACTCTATGAAAACGCATCTTAATTAGTAGAGTGTTGCTCACTGTAGATATATAAAAAAAAAAAAAAAAAAAAAGAAAAAGCTCACACTTCCCTAATCACATAGGTTGTGTAGCAGTATCGCTAGCGGACTCATTAACATATATATGTATCTGTATTCTACAAGACTGTCAACATCAAACTAGCCGAGGACGCTCTAATCTAATATACATATATATATATTGCTATAAAGTACACTAATTGGATCACAATTGATGAACCGCTGACTCTGAAAATATGACATAATAGAATTAGCATTTAAAGTTGCCTCTTCCCTGTGCTTTGTTATGATCTGCTTAGAGTTTAGCTTCTTCAGAATTGTAAAGCTAACGTCATGCTCTAATGCGGAATGACCGGTGCTGAGCTCCAAAATACTGAAACAGTCGCTAGGCAAGCCAGATATTGCCTAGGGTCAATCGTCAATCTTAGAATGGCATGTGGACCTTTAACATAAAAACATGGTAAATTTGAGAAACACACTGTGGATAAGTTTACATAGAAGGAATCAC